GTCTAAAACGGTAAAGCACCATTATTGGGTTTTTGGTAATGGCTGACAGCATGCATTCTGCAGACATTTCAACAGTGAACAAGAGAATTATTGACAGCATGAAGCGGCTTCATCTGCAGTTTTCTTGTCTTTTTAAATGTGCATTAACTTGCATGTTTTACTCAGAAACTTTTGAGATGCAATGTATACTGATGAGTCACTCTTTATAAAAAGCCAATAGAGACAGAGTATGAGGGTGGAGAGAGAGAGGAAAGAATGAAAGACTGAAGAAAAGAAGGGGTGGTGGGGCAGAGCAGGTTTTGTGGTGTTGCAGATCCCCAGTGGAGTGAAGGCGGATATGGGGCCTAAAGGCCTTCGCTGGCACCACTGCTGCAGGACAACGGAGGAAACAGATGTGGCCATGATTTACATCTGCTGCCTACCAGTGACTGCACATACACTTTAATCTCACAGCTATGCCTCACTCTTATTTCCTTCCTCCCTCCCTTACTTTGGCATCTTCCACTTACCCGGATGTCCCTGCCCACTTTTTTGCCCCTCTCCATCACCAACACAACCACTCCCCATCCTCCATATTTTCCAGTTTGTTCCAGATGTTCAGCCATAGTGATACAGCCCGAGCTCAAATGCTTTAATCTTCTGTCTCTCAACATCCTCTCCACGCTCACGCTGGGATGTGGAGTGTGAACTACTTTGTGCACCCTCTTCTCCATTTACACAGCCCCGCTATTCCACCACCGCTGAGATTAAGCAGACGCCGAGCTCTCTTTACTTAACCATGTGTCTGATGACTGCTACAGGGTATAAATACTTTTATGTTGAACATCACTACCCAAATGAGCTTTGGAATCCATTTTAGCTTAGCACTACAATTTACTGATGAACTTTCTTTAGGCTATAACTTTTTGTAGGAAATATGTATCACAGAATGAGGACCTCCAGGCCATTGTGTCATTTTGCCTGAACAACATTCTGCCTTGCAATCAGTTTGCAGCTTCATATGAGGTCATGAAGACTGCGGTCATCAAGAAGGGATGCATAAAGACTCATTTGTAGGAAGTGAAGTCACCCAACTCCTCCATTGACATGTTGTCACTGGTGTCTGTTTTTGAAGTCAGGCTTTCTATGTTGCTTTTTTAGCATTTTTCATTGTACAGTTTGTGCCAATGCATGCGTATTGATGAAAATAAGAAGGGATTGTAGGGATTAGTGTTGTCACGATAGTGAAATTTCTAGCTTTTGATACGATACCTTGAAAAATATTTATATACGACACCATTTTCGATATCTCAGGGAAAAACTGCCATGTATACTAACAGGGTTCCAGACTGCGCCCAAATTGGTCGCATTATGCGACCTTTTTTTTGAGAATGTGCGAGTTAAAATTTTATTGCGTTCGCATATGTGCGAGTGGACGCTCGCGCAACACAGAACGCCATTATATCATTATATAGTTATAATAAACCAAAATTTTTTATCTGATTAATCGAAAAAAATAATCGCCTTATTAATCGGTTATCAAAATAATCATTAGTTGTAGCCCTACTATTTTTAGCAGTTTTAAGAAACAGCAAAATCAATTCAAATTATTAATTCATTTTTTAACTCCTAATTAAAAGTCCCTGCTCCATAAGTCATTCCTTCTGTGAATCAACTTACAGAGGTCACACTGTATGTTTTAAATCACAAAAAATGGCTTAAGATTCAAACCAATATTGTGATTATTCAACTGCAGATCATAAATATTTTACCCAGCCTTGAAATATACATAAATATTTAAGTTGTGCTCACATGCAATGGCCCACTGTAGTCCTTTTCTTCCACATATATTAAACTATCAACCCTGCTGTGTCCGCTAATAACCTTTGGACCTATTTGGTTGCACATTCACCAAATCTACACCCAGAGCGAAAAATGCTGTTTTTATATGCCAGGCCTATTGCACTTCTAACACCAGCCTGCAGCTCTTTCATTTTAATGCATGCAAATGGATTTTTGGGCTGAACTCATCCTCTAAATGCATTGTAAGAAAGCTCAAAGCATTTAAAATGTGTTAAATGCACCTCAGGGACTGTGTGATAAATTGCATCATTCTTTTGTGACAGGTCTCCACACAAACGGGCTGTTGTTAGATTGGTTAAGAAGTATGACCTTGGCAAATTATTATCTTGTAGTATTTTTTCATGGAATGTTGGACCATCCACTTGTATGATGTTGTTGAATACAGCCCTATTTTTCATTCTGGTCTTTCATGGGTGATTCTTCGGTATAAAAAGGTTGCATGAGAAGGACACAGCCTAAGGGCACGCACAGATGCCGCCTCCCAGATGCATGCAATCCCGAATTCAGTTCTCATTTAAAGCTTTTTGTAGCCTGCATGCCAGCCAAACTTAGCCCCGCCCACAACATTTGAGGATGAGAAGTTCGGTCTGGACTTTCATCCGTTGGGAAGCAAGTATCCCCGAACCAAAGCTTTTTTGACCAAACAAATTGTCAGGGCGGGCTTTATACGATGATTGACAGATGATCATCCACGTCACCAAAGAGCGCTTGGGTTGAATTCGTTTACAACAAAGAATGGAGTATTGAGATGTGTAGATTCAGCCATCGCATCTGTTATGGAAGATGTAGACAGCTCATTCATTTTAAAAGATGACCAGAGAACCGCGATCAGGCATTTGTTGATCCAATTGAGTCCAGAGACATTTTCTTTCCTAGTTCGGTTGAAACACGCCCCATAATCACAGCCCAATGGAGCAGTATCAGACTCACATTCTGACTAAGCTTTTTGTGCTTGCATGGTCAAATACACACACAATAATGTAAAAAATGCACATCATACGGAGCATTCGTGTAAACCCAGTCTGTTACGTCCTGTGTGTGAGTAACAGTATATTAGATCCATGCAATTATTCTTAAAGGGACAGCAGCCTCATAACTGTTGTCATCTGGTTTATTATTGTTAATAAAAAAATCACTCGCTGCTTTTGACTGAATCACCTTTGTATCATTATTGTGAATCAATTTATATTTAATTCATACACTGAGGAATACAGTGTTTTTTTTTTTTTTTTTACATTTTGTTTATACCATTTCTGTAGTTTTCTTATTAATTAATGCTACTGTACCTGTACCAAATTTTCTACCAAATTGTTTGTAGTTTGTTGCTTTTTTCATATTTTTAATATAAAAATAAAATAAAATGGCCTGCCTTTATTACAGTAATGATTACACATGTGTGTAATGATTGCAGTCAGCTTAATAATAATAATAATGGGTTTACTAAAATGGCAAGAAAAACTAGATACATTTCAAGGTTCACATTTAATTCAGTGGGACTTTTTTTCTTCAAGACCCATTAAACTGTTTACCACAGTCAAATAAGAAAAGTAATGCAAAACAATACAATCTATGCATTAATATCAATATCAGTTGTGACCAAGAATTGATTTGAATCGAATCTCAAAGTACCAAAAAAAGATTCCCACCACTAGTGAGAAGCTTTTACTATTACTTTCACTAATAATTATGTTTAGGAACTTGAACAAACTCCTAAAACTAGAACTTTGGTGTGTTATTCACCCAAGGTGTTAATGCTGCAGAGATGAATTTCTTGACAGTAGCTTGTGTTGACAGTAGCAGTAGCTTGAACTGAGTTTTGCACAGGCTTTTTTCCTATTCCTACTATCAGAGATGAACTTGGGTGGGTCCTCTTAAGCATGGCATGTGACATTGCTTAATAGATTTAGTTTTTTCCTCCACAGAAGCACTCAAACATTTTATGTGCTCTACTGATCTGAAGGCTTGGTAATGACCTCTCTCAATGCCTTGGGCAATGGATGACATTTGTTTGGAAACATTGTAGAGCTTGTTCTTGTGGCATTTACACATTTAGACATTTACAGACATCCGTTACATTAGTACTAATGTTAGAACCTAACTCAATAAGCTGTACTCTCTCCTGACTAATACAGTTTGTTCAAACACACACACTTGTTCATAAAACAGAGCAATGGAGATGTGTTTTTAAAATTTGACCGCACTTTAGGAACTTTAAATTATGATGAGACATTTAGTGGCAGGGATAAAATAATGCTGAAGAGAGGGAAGTGTCGTTGACCTTGGCAGTTAATTCATGTTTAAATCACGTCAATTTGCTCAGAATAAAACCACCCTGGTCTCATATCTCTTCTGAGGTTAAGAGGTCAATGCAGTGTACAGTGAGGCTAAAGCATGACTGATGCTTAAAGAGTGGACAGTAATCCAATCTGGGTTAAAATCCACCTCAGGGCTTTCCAACATCCAGCGCTTTACTTTTTATGGCTACCATCACTGACTGTACAAGTGTGATAGTGGGAAATTGGCCGTGGCACTGGTAGATGAATCCCAGTGCAAAATTTCATCTCGGATCACTGCTAGCACACATCAAAGAGTGACCTCTATTTTTCATATTCATAGTTGGAAGCTCCTGTATCTCACAGTAACACAGATCCCCTGATCTCTGATATTGCCAGAATTTTCTTTTGCTTATTTTGAACCCAGTGCCTTCTCTTTCTACCTCTGTTTTCCTCCCACCCCCTTCCGTGGGCTTGGAGACTGGTGACAAAAAAGTTAACACTTATATTTGCTCCCAAACTTTAGATTGCTCCAAGAGTTAATTATTTATGTATGACTGTGAAGGGTAGAAACTGGATCTGAGATGGAGATTCCCATTAGATGTGTAAATTTAGTACATTGGTTGCATCTGTATATTGTGAGTGTTCAAGCGCATGAGGAAGTTTGCATGAGGAACTGCTGTGGAAAAACAAAAAATACATAAACTATTTCATAACATTTAGTCTTTTCCCCACCATTTTATCACAACGTGATGCTTCATTCACAAGCACAAGTGTTCCAAGTCATTGACTGTTTTGTCACAAAATGTTCAAACTTAGAAATTAGGCCATTTTTCAATTAATATATGAAATAATTTAAAACCTGTCTGTCTCATTCTGTTCCAGTTTCTCTGTGGTACATCTCGCACAGCCAGACCCCTTGAACTTGGGAACATTGTATCACCTACCTGAAGCAATCCTTCATCACGTCTTACGTTTACAGTAAGTCTCACATCGTGAGCCGTGACTGACGCTCAAAATGGCTAACAACACTGCAGACCACCCACCGGGTAACTCGGTCACCGAGGTTGACCACGATGGGGACTTTGGCTGCACGACAATGAATCTCCGTGACCTGATGGAGCTCCGCTCTGGCGATGCGGTCAACAAGATTGCAGAATGCTACGGAGACGTGCAAGGGATCTGCCGCAGGCTCAAGACCTCACCTATCGAGGGTAAGAAGCAGTGAAGATATACACCTACACATGCACACCCACTTGACACAGTTGTGAAAGCACTGCTGAGTAGGGCTGGGCGATATGGCAAAAACAAAAAACAATTTTGTTTTATATAAGAGTATTTTAGAGCAACTATTGATCAATTCATGATTTAAAAAAAAATAAAATAAATAACTATTTTAACTTAAAAATATAACTGCAATATAGTTTAAGTAACACATCTAGTTAAAAAAAGTTATATTCCAAGTGCACTACATTCCAAGTGGTGTAATTACTTGGTTAAGTATCTTTGCAGAAATTATGCAGGAGTTAAGAATTCAAATATTGTACACACTTACTTTAAAGGGCACCTATTATGGAAAATTCACTTTTACATGGTGTTTTAACATAAATGTGTGTTGGCAGTGTGTGAGCAAAACCACCCTAGAATGATAAAAATCCACCGAGTGTTTTTTTTTTTTTTTTTACAATCTCAATAAATCAAATGCACTGTGTCAGAACGAGCTGTTCTGAGATTCAGCTCTTTGTGACGTAGAAAGTGAGAAAGTGGTTTGATTGACAGTGTGGTTGTGGCATAGACCCCGCCCTCGGTGATCTGTACACACATCCTCCATTGTTTCAACGACAGCCGGTAATGTCTCTTGGAAACGTAAACGTTCTCATGGGTTAATCCTGTTGTTGTGGCTTAAAAGTTAATCCTCAACTGTGGATCGTCATCTACTGTTTGCGATCCACCGTCACCTCCAGTAACAGTAAGTCTATTTTATGATTTTTGAGCAAATAGTCTTTTCAGTCAATGTCAGCCAATTCAACAACAAATGCGTCTAAAGTTGTCGTAGGATGTCTGTGTAGGCTATACAATTTAATTTATACAATTTAAATATACACTGTTTGTATAGTGTGTAACCACACGTTTATAAATATATATATTTTTAAAGATATTGTATTAAAAACTGCATATATGTTGTTGTTCTGTAAGTTAGCCATCTTCTCACATTTGCCACAGAAGCACCTGTATGACAAGTAAACATGACGCAACAGGTCCCTCGCATAAATGTAATTTCGCTTGTACTTACGTAGCAAACTTTATCACAGAATGTGTATGTAGTTAAAAAATATTGCACCAGCTTCAGTGTCTCTGTGTGTGTGTGTGTGTGTGTGTGTGTTGCACATCCGGACGCGATTACAACTCTAAAGTACATAAATGTATCAAATAACCATACCGAGACGTACTGGTCCATTCTCATTTGTGTTTATTCTGCCGGAGTCTCTTCGTACTATTTATATATTCCGATTCAAACGTACGCTGAATGACATTCAAAACAGCGGTTTCTCACACTCTCTCAGTACCGACTGCCATTGGTATCAAGTTACGCCCTCATCCAAAGGCAGGGCGGGGATGTGCAGCTCATTTGCATTTAAAGCCGTATACCTCCGAAACAGATCATTTTTAAGCAGGCCCCAAAATGACATTTTCAAATGGTTATAATAAATGAACTATGGGGTATTTTGAGCTGAAACTTCACAAATACATTCTGGGGACACCCGAGACCAATATTACATCTTGTAAAAAGGGGCATAATAGGTGCCCTTTAAACATATAATTTATACCAAGTAACAACTAAAAAAAATGACAAAGTTTACACACAGCGATAGGCTATGTTTTCAAATATCACCTTTCAGCCTGTTAGGGTTTTATTTTCTTTACATGGTTGGCGGAGGTGTTTGGCTGTTGCACTCGTGTTTTGCATCTTTTGCAGCGCCTCACCCATGAAACAGCTTTCTAAAAATGCGGCACGCGTCTAATAACTTTTTCCCATTCCAATGCCTGCGTCTTGTTGTTTCAATGCAATATCGCATTCTGTGTGAACAGTTGTTTAAGATTTTCTGCAATGTTTTGTAACGTTTGCTAACATTTTTATTCAAAACTGCAATTTCTTGAAAAAATCAGGAAAATCGCTCAACCCTACTGGTGCATGTTGCACTCGTACTCAATTCTTTTTTTCAACTGAATTATATTACAAGTGTTATTATTCCAAAACTCTTTTTTTTATTAGTTGTTTTATATCAGAAAATATTTTACAAAAACACTACATTGAAATCTGTTGCATATTTCAGGTTTTGTTTTATCCCCATGTTTTAATATTTGTTGAATCCTTTGCAGCAATGAATGAAATGAGCTTGATGAAAAGGATCCCCACAGCACCATACTTCCTTGGAGGCATGGTGTTGTGTTTGTGTGTTGTGCTTTAGAAAAGTTAAATCATCTTGTCACCTGACCACAAAATCTTTTATTGCGTCACAGCTGGTGAGGCATTTGAAGCCAACCTCGGACGTGCTTTGCATGGCTCCTTTAGAGTAATGGCTGATTTGTGTCCCCCTCAGATACGTGTCAGTGTTATGCAGAGCTTTTCAGATGGGTTCCTTTTTGTTCCCTTCTACTGAGCTCTCTGATTGTTCACTGCTTTATGGTTTCACATCCAGTCTGCATTAAGCAGTGTCTTGGGGGACAGGCTTTTATAGATGCTGTTTTGGTAATTTGATGTTTCTACTTCTGGGTAATTAAACTGCTTTTCCTAATTTAAACATTTTAGTTCTTCAGTCTTATGTTTCACAGCTGACCTTCAAATTCATTAAAGGGACAATGTGTACTTTTTTATGTATTTTTTTTATTTTTTTTTAAATATACAAATACATCTGCCAATTATCTGACTTATCCTCATAAACAAAGAATTTATTATCTTTATATACATGGGACGGGTAGGCCCGCAGAGGCCTAAAAATAAATGAAAATAATAATTTTAATTATTAAAATTACGGCACTGCAACCGCGTCGCTTCCATTATGAGCGTGCACACATTTGAAATAACGAACTGAAACAGGCCCTTAGTGAAGCATCTAAAGCATTTGAAGTTGAAAAGCCTAAACATAGTTTAGCTTTGTATATAAAGTTTCAAGTTATTTGTATTTATAATTTTTCTATTATATAAACTTAATCTTTAAAACGTCACGGACGTGACAGACCACTGAAGCGTCATGACCTCTTAATAATAGCCCTGATAAATTCAACAGGCAGTGCTGTTATAACAAAATGAGTATTTATTTTTCAGGTATGCCTCCATCTTTCTGCAAAATGCTTTGTTAAAATAAAGTTTTAATAAGGGGTTCTTTGATCCCTCTTTTGAAAGCGTGAGAAATGATTAGTTGAAAATGTAATTTTTGCATTGTTGCTCACCTCATATGTGGTGGAAAAACAAGGTAATTTTCTTAACTTTTAATTTCTGACAAAACACTTTTTTTTTCATGGTAAGGATGACTTTTACGTGGAATTGCCCGGCTGTCTTATTTCACCTCCGTTGGTTCAAAGTCAGATTGGGCTTTGCTGTTGTCCTAATGAACACTGTGATCATGCAAAGCAAACAATGCCACGGCTCTCATCTCCACTTCAGCATATGGGCTCTGTTGGATCATTCTAGCATTGACATTTGCTCCTCATTGTGTTCTTAATTACATTTTAGATCATCACTCGGTTCCATTTTGTAATGAAGGGACAGCTGTACAGACTTCCCCACACAAGAAATGACTCATTTTATGGAAGGGGTTATTATAGGGTAATATTATGTTTTCTCTTTCACCCTTAAATTCAAGAGTGGGTTAAAAAAGCAAAGTAACATTTCATTTAAAGGTGCTGTGGAGACCTTCTGATGTGTTTTTACAATCGTATCACATAGCATTAACAAGTTTTGTTTGAGGTGTAAGTCTGACTGCATTCATACATTTGTTAAAAGGCAAAACATTGAAATTGACAGTGGATGTGTTAAAGTTTGGCACTGGACCTCGCTGTTTGCTCTTGTTGCATACTTGTCTTGTGAGGGAAAATGATTCATCACTGGTCTGCTGTAATATTTTTTCTGAAATCCAGGCCACTCCTGTTTGCATTACAGCATGACACAGACCCTTAAAGGCAATACCATTACAGTCCATTCAAGAGGTAATAGTTCTGCAGATATGAGTCTTATTTATGGTCGATTTATGTTGTGGTCGCCCAAGAAGACTCAAACTTATAAAGACAATTTCAACCTCTAATCTCAGCGTTTAGACTTTGCAGGTTGTACTTAAAGCAGCACTTTGAAAGATTTCCGTTTTTGTCAAACTGTGACCCCTAGAGTCGCTGTGGAGTACTTGTACTGTTGTAAATAGCACACACTCACGCAGCGATGTCTCTGCCATCATGGCCTGATCCCCTCCCCCGTATACTGGTACCTGTTCAGTAGGATGTAAGCTGTAACGAGTGGAAATAAGGCGTGGCTCCTTTAAGAGCTGCACACCATTCAATCTGAAAATAGTCATATAACCATTACAATAACTCTGAAACTACAGTATCCAGATAAGGTAAAACATAAAACTGTATAGAGCTGCTTTAACCACTCCTCAAATTCCACTCTAAATCAGTTCAACTTGTTTTCACACCCATGGCTCTCATTGTACTTTGTTTGAATTTTTAAATTTTGAATTTTCTTTGTGTTTTACAAAATTTAAATCAATGTATTGTTTTGGGTAAATGATTTGGCAGGATGATTTTTATATAATTAAGAAAAAAACTTAAACTTAGGCGACAACATCCATTAGTCAAAAGTCTTGTGGACAGATATTTAGTATGTGTTTTGTGGCCTTATTTCAGAAACTTTCTTTTTTTTTTTTTTTCAATAACCATGCATAAATAATATTCTCTCAAAAATACAAACATGTACATACATGTTGCTCCCATATTATGGTAGCCCTGTTTGTGCTAAATAGTGTAATTATACCTTTGACATTAATGTTTATAAACAACTGAAAAAAGCACAAATGTCAGGGCATGTCAAAACATCTCAAGGACCCCAAAAACACCTTAAACCCCTGAGGCTTAAGTCCGATTACCGGTTTATATCTGCATAGATTTACTTGGTCAATTAATGTGGATATTTCCTGCTCATTTAAGTAGCCTGACAGAAAAG